TGATTTGAAAATAATCAGTGGAAAATTCCAGAAATAAGCAATTCATAAGTTATAAATTGTGCACCGTCCTGAGTAGCATGATGAAATCGCATGCCGTCCTGCTCGAACTCTCCTGGAACCACCCCTTCATTCAGCGTATCCATGCTGTATACACTCCTGGATCATTATTGACTCTTAGTAGTCAGCTAGGTTATTGAACTGACTGTCTTGGGATCACAGTGTTTGTGTTCAAGTAACTTATTTTACTTAATGACAGCCCCAAAGTACAAGAATAGTGATACCGGCAGTTCGGCTTTGCCAAAAAGAGCTTCCTTTAAGTGAAAAGGTATGTACGTATGTATAGAAAAAAACATAGTATATCTAAGATCAGTACTATCTGTGGTTTCCAGCATCCACTGGGGGTCTTGGAATATATAACCTTGTGGATAAGGGGAAACTACTGTAATAAGTAGAGGCTATGTCCAGCCAGCCTGGCTCACCGGAGGAGCGTGGACCCATGAACCAGGAGGTCACTGTTGGATTCCAGTCAGGGCATGTGCCCAGGTTGCAGGCTCCATCCCCAGTAAGGGGCGTGTAGGAGGCAGCTGATCAATGACACTCTCTTATCACTGTTTCTCTCTCTCTCCTTCTCCCTTCTTCCTCTCTCTGAAATCAATAAAAATATATTTTTAAAAAATAATAAGAGGAGGCTATAAAGTACAGGTCTCCCTGTTACAAATGACAATTCTATCACACTAGCCACCCTTACTACTGCTTCTGCCTCTGAATTTCTAATACTTTTGCCCTAAAGTACTTTTAAAAGGCACCTAGTGGTGCATCACAATCCCATGCTATTTGTCAAGCAAAAAAGGAAGAAAAGATTTTGGTGTCCTATCCACATAAGTGAATTATATGTAATCTCTGGAAAATGGTTCAAAAATCTGTATTTATAACAAGCACCTATGGCTGATTCTGCTGCAGCCTAAACCTTGAAAGAAATATGAAATGCTAAGATTGCTTTGGAAAGTTGGAAGATGACTCTCAGATGACTCTATGAAGCACTACCACCTCCCTAAGTAGTTGATATATAAGTAGAGTGGAGATTTGTAAATATTAGTGTAGAAAAAGTATACTTTATCAACATCAAAATTTGCCAAGAGTTGAGAAAAAGCTCAATTTCTCTTTCCCCTCTCACAAAATAGATGCTTCCAGCACTTAACATATGTACTCTATAGGACTGTTCTGCTGCATTATAATTAAATAGGTTTTTGGAAACTCTTCACTCATATATAACAATGTTTCTAAGGGAAAAAATGGGTTCAAATTTCCTAAGAACCATCTCAAAAACAAATTTTCAGAGCAGTACCTACCCATTATTAAGTTTTGAATCATCCATGTAACTCCTGAATACTAATTAATACTATTAATATGCTAACAGTGAAATTAGCTGAATTATTACACAGAAGCCCACTAAAACATACATTTTCAACTAATAGGTCTTTCTGACATTAGACCCTAAAATATTAAGTCCATAACCTTAACATTTTTCCTATGCAGCATCTAGTTTCTATTATTGAAATTTTCAAAGAACACTTTTTTAAATCCTCTAATAATTACTTTTAAATTCTCAAAAGATTTTTTTCAATTTCCAGCTATTACTTAAAGCTTCTATACTTAAAACACTGACATGTTATTTTAAAACCTGAAAAACACCAAAGTTATAGGAATCACACTACCTGATTTCAAGATTTACTACAAAGCCATAGTAAATAACTTTATCAAGACAAGTGTGCTATTGGTAAAAAGATGGAAACACAGATCACTGAAGCAGATTACAATCCAAAAATAAACCCACACAATAGAAAGTCTACTGACATTCACAAAAGTGCAAAGATATTCAATGGACAAAGGATATTCTTTTCAGTAAATGATGCTAGAACAATTGGACATATTCATCCACATGCAAACAAATGAATCTCAACCTTCAATCTTTACCACACCTTATATAAGAACATATCAGAAAATCTAAATGTAAAATATGAAATGATAAACTTCTAGAAGAAAACAGAGAAAATCTTTGTGACCTCAGACACAGAAGATTTAGTGACTTACGTAAAGATTTTGTAGATATAACATCAAAAGCATGACTCAAAATTTTTAATGAACTGGACTTGATCAAAATTTAAAACTTTTGCTTTGCAAAGACAAATTTAGAAAAGAGTGGGAGAACATATTTTCAAATCACATATCTGACAAAGAATTTGTATCCATAATATCTAAAGAACTCTCAACATTGTACAAGAAGAAAATAAACACTTTGGAAACGAGTTTGGCAGTTCCTTAAAAAGTCATACAACTGTAATTCCACTTCTAGGTATACACCCAAGAGAATTTAAAACATATACCCACAAAAAAAACTTGTATATGAATGTTCATAGCAGCGTTACTCATAAAAGCCAAAAAGTAGGAATAACTTAAATGCCTGTCAATTGAATAAAGGATAAACAAATGTGATGTATTCATAAAATGGAATATTATTCAGTCATAAAGAGGAATGATACATGCTACAACAAGGATGAACCTCAAAAATACTTTAAGTGAAAGAAACCAGAAATTGAAAGGCTTTGTATACTACATGACACCATTTAAATGAAATGTCCAAAACTGACAAACCCATAGAAGGGAAGATTAGTGGTTGCTAGAGGTGGGTGGAGAGAGATTAAGTGAGAATTTGTAGTGACTGTTAATGGATATGAGGTTTATTCTGGGGGTGCTGAAAATGTCCTAGAATTAGATAGTGTTCATAGTTGCACAATGCTGTAACTATGCTAAACAACGTTTTGCATATTAAAAGGGTGAATTTAATGTGAATTAAATATCAAAAAGAAAAAAATTTAAATAAGCAAAACATTTGAACAGTCACTTCAATGGAAATATACAAACAACAAAGAACAATAAGTTCAACAACTTTAATTACTAAGGAAATAAAAATTAAAATCGTATGTCACTATGTACCTATTAGAATGGCCAAAAGTAAAGTTCTTTTAGGTGACCCTACTAAGTGCTAGTAAGGATGCAGAGCATCTAAGCACTCATGCAATGCTGGTGAGATTGCAAAATGGTAGAGCCACTCTGAAAAGCAGTTCCATCACTTCACATAAATTAAATATCCACTTACCACAAGACCTTGAAATCTCACTCTTAGGTATTTATCCAATGAAATAAAAGTTTATGTTCACACAAAAACCAGTACATGAATGTTTACAGCAGCTCTTCATAATTGCCAAAAACTGAAATGTCCTTCAACCCCTGAACAGAATTCATTTCTAGTACAACCATACAACGAAAATGCTACTAAACAATATAATGAAATACTGATGCATGCAACAGGAGTGACTCTCAAATTCATTTTACATAAGGAGTCAAACTAAAAGAAACCAGACCCTCAAAGCCATGTACCATATAATTCCACTTACATGGCACTCTAGAAAAGGCAAAACCATAGGGACAGAAACAGAACAGTGGTTCCCAGGAGGAGGGGTGGGGGCTGGATGGGATGGATTGCAAAGGGGCAGCAGAAGGAATTTGGGGGTCTTCCTGGAACTCTCCAGTATCATGACTGTGATGAAGCATGTATCCATCACAAGAGTGAATTTTACTGCATGTAAATTTTAAATAAATCCTGGGATAAATCACACTCCACACAAACCTCCACCTGTATGTAGAAGCAAACTCCAACTATAAAACAAAGTACACCACAAAATGCTCTCACGGCTTCCTTCTGAGGAAGGTGGAGACACGTTTTATTCTTTTATCCTTGCAAATGAGCAGCAGCACAGATTAAACAATATGCAAGTTGGAGATGCTGACCTAGCACTTATGTCCCTAGTTCTTGTAGTCCCACTATCATGGTACTAGGTACCAAGATTAGGAAGTAACAAGAGGTCTTCCTTATCAAACTAAATTACCTATTTACATTATGTCATAAAAGAGACAAATCAAGATAAGCGAGTATTTTAGAAGAAGCCTGAAAGTGTGTGCATATTCAAGAATAGTTAAATTATTAAATACACACACACACATTAACCCTAACTTTGGCCTGGGAGATTCATTTCACAAAGAAAAGGAATCTAATTTCTAATGGTTGCTTAAAATAAAAAAGGGTATAATACAAAAATAGGTAGAAGCACTATAAATAAGGCTCCAAATAGGTAGAGCACCAGAGTAAACAGGTACAAAGCAAAGCGTCCTCCTTCGCTATCTAAGCCACGTTAAGCGCATGTTCATCCCTGTCTTTTGCAGGTCTGAGATGTTGCACAGCTGCACCTCGTTTCTTTAAAATTCAGTAATTCCCTCTGACCCACAACCCCAAAGCCTCACAAATGCAACCTATTCCTGGGTCAGGCTGTGAACTGAAAGCACACAACCAACCGTTTAAGCACATGAGTTTCGCTTTTTGTTATCAGCCGAATCCAGGCGAGCAACCCGAGCGCGGGCGGCGTGGTCCGAGCAAACACCAGTTTAGCCACGGACAGGGGCTGGGGCAGGAAGGAAGAGGCGTCTCTGGTCACAGCGATGCCTTCACGTGCGAGGCAGCGTGCGACACTCCGTGGGCCCTCCTTCATACCCCAAGGGGGGGGAATAACTGAGGATGAGATCCAGCTCAGGTGCGTCTGGTGGCCGCCCTTCGCCCCGCGCGGCACAAGCCGCACCGAGGGAGGAGGCATTTGAACTCCAGACCCTTGGAGTCCACGACGGGACCCTTGGCCGCTCGGTTCGGAAAAAAGGGACAATTTCATCCAGGACCCACGACCTCATCCCCTCCTGCCAAAAAATAAGCAACTCGCGGGCCAAGGCCCGGAACTGCTGCGGGCTTTACGTAATTTGACCCCGAGGAGGGTGGTGGCAGGTGGCGGCGCCCGGCCAGCCAGGGGCCCGAGGCCCCGAGAAGGTAGGGCCCGGCTCCGGCACTGAAGGGCCGGGAGAGACGCAAGACTGAGGGACAGCGGCGGTCTCGTTACCTCCCCAGATGCCCAGAGTGAGCTGGGACGTGTCCAGGTTCACCACATAGTCCCCCAAGAACCGGTTCAACACATCCACGACCACCGACTCGAACACCATTTTCCTCCGTCGTGGCAGACACGGAGGGCGCCCCAAGCGCGCCTTCTTCTTGCGAGGGCCCTCCCGCACCCCTCCCGAGGCCGCTCGGTTCACCGGCTCCCAGGCGGCTCCGACCGCAGCGCAACCCGTGCGGGACGCGCAGCCCCGCTTCCAGCCGGGCAAGGGGC